ATAGTTTTCTATATAACTACTTATATAAATTAATTAATAAAGATATGAGCAAGGCCTCACCTTAATACCAAAAAAAATATATTGTATTAAGAAATTAAAGTTAAATATTTGTCAAACCAAGGTAACAATACCAACAAGTATTTTTTAGATAAAAGTTACTAACCCCTGAAAAAAATAGTAAAATAACTATATATTTAAGAAGGTGCGTTATTTTGAAACGTGCATGGGCATTATTTTGGCTCAAAAAAAACAATTTTTTAAAAAAATGAGAGTTTCAAAATAATGTCTATGTATACAATTATTGTAATTACAAAACTATACCACTATGAATGAACCTATAATAATTAATATAAACTCACTTTAAAATTTCTCTAACAGGTTCAGCCAATTGTTTAATTTTAAATACCTAATAAAAAATTATTTCAAAAATAAGGTTTTGAAATTTATAGTTAATAATCAAAAATAAATCTCATGAGAGTTAGGTATAGGTTCAACTACAAATAGCTATGATCACTACATGCAAATTACTAAATTTTGGAGTGATTTTTTTTTTTAGAATTATTAAAGTTATTCAGATGCAAATTTTTAGCCATAGTTATAAGATAAATTCAAAATACTTTCTCTAAATTCAAAAACTTAAAATCATCAATGTTGTAGAATAACTAACTGACCAAATGACTAATGATAAATTTTAAGATTTTGAATTTTAGAGATGTTTTAAATTTATTATATAAGTAATTATAACTAAAGTTTACTTTGGAATAGTAAACAAATTAGTTCAAAATTTAGAAATCTAATTGTAGTTGTTTGTAGCCAAACCCATCCCTAGTAAGGACCATCATAATCTGCTATGACTTTTACAACTTGTGTAAATTTATAAGTGTTTTATCTAGTTGAATAACTTTGAAAAAGGCTTCCTGTAGTGTATCAACAATTGTATAATTTAATTTGGCACTAGTTTTTCTTACTATAGTGCTAACTATCAGTTTTCTTGCTTAAATATGAATTGTTATATTTACAATAGAGCATATAATTTAATAAATTTAATTTACTTTTAACAAAAAAAATATTTAAAATACAATAACTTAACTGTGATCCCAACAAAAAATTGAATCTATTCTTTTAGAGGAGTGACCTTTATAATTTATATGAATATTAAAATACTCACCATCAGAAAGATTATTATATAGAAAATCAATAATCAAATTATTACAGAATAGTGTATTATGGTTTTATATTAGAATCTGACACAAAATCCTAGCAAAACTAAAATCCTGATACTCAAAATCTCAATATAAAATCCTAAACTACCAAAATCCTAACAGTATTGCTATTAAGATTTTGGTAGTGTCAGGATTTTGATGTCGGAGTTTTATGCATTAGGATTTTTAGTATTGTTGGGATTTTGTGCGTCAGGTTTTGTATCAGGATCCTGATATAAAACTGCATATTACTTATTATATAATGTATCAAGTAAAAAGTAATATTGTTATATTAATATGTGTTTTAATTTAAAAAACTTGCATATTATTTAATTCAAAAAAAAAGTAACTTTGATTAAAAATTATATAATAGCATGTAATTTGAAATATTTACTTTAAAATTATATATAAAGTCACAACTAAACAAAATTTTCTATTTTGCAATATGCAAGGAATGATGGTTGAACAAAAATGTTCTCACTTTTTCAATATTGGTAACATATTTGAAATACTAGCAAAAGAATTTGATGAAGAAATCTGGCCCTTAATTTCAAATATTTGGATACGATACAATAGCAGAACGTGTGTTAATAGAGATTTTTGGACTGCTTATGCCTATCATTTTAAAAAACATAACAAGTCGAGTACAAGACAAAAGAGAATACCTGTCAATAAATGAAGAAATACAAGTAAATGCATTAATGGCTTATGTAAAGCAAAAATCAAAATTACACACTTCATTGCAACCCAAACTGTTCAAGTTAAATGTTTTCAAAACACACCTGATCATAGTCATCTGATTGAAGAAAGTGATCCAATAAAAATGCCAGAAGTCATTGGACAAATGATAGCTCAAAAGGCAAATAAGCCTTATGCGTCGCCAAATATTGTTACAGCTATAAAGGTAAGAGTTAAATTAGTAAATATGATATAATTAATAAATATAGTTTTATAAATAAATTGCAATACATTTAATCTAGTATTCTGCAAAATCAAATCAAATTTGAATTTGAATCAAGTATTTGAAAATATTTAATCAAATTTTTAAAAAATTTGATCAAATATTTTCAAATACTTGATTCAAATTCAAATTTTGATTTGATTTTGTGGAGTACTATGTTTTAACATTGGTTATTTAAAGCATCTCTAACAATAAAATATACAAATGATCTAATTTTAATTTCTAATCTCATGTTAAGGAACTTGCTCAAAGAAATAATCTTAGTACTCTTGATTAAAACTTAACCCAAAAAGATGCTACAAATATTCAACAAAAAAATGAGAGCCACAAAATATTAATTCTTCTGGTAATCACAATCTTGAAAATGATCTTCAAAGTGCTTTTAACTTTTTGACTAAAAAAGCTTATCAAGTAAAGCACTTTCAAGTAAAGCAGTTCCATAGTTTTTGTTTTGCTAATTGAAAGCAAATTGAAAAATTACAAAATTTTGGATGGCTTATTTTAATGGATACAACTCATAATACCAACAAATATAAATGGTAGCTCTTTACTTTGTATATCCAAGATAACCATAGATGTTGGAATATAGGTGTGTATCTGCTTATAAATTTTAAAAATATTAGTACTTTAACACATGCACTAAAAATAATATGTGAATTTGCTCCTGAATAGTGCCCATATTATATACTATGTGACCAAAGCAGTATAGAAATAAATAGTATATCTAAAGTATTTCCGGGTATAACATGTGATAAACAAACTTGTAAAGATATATTTTGCACAGTGCATATAGTATGTACCTAGATACATAAAGTCTATTACCTCTTAATACACAATCAAATAATTCTAGTAATAAACAAAACAACAAAGGCTAATTGTAAAAAAGTTATAAATAATGCTATAAATACATGCCCTGTTCCTGAAATCGTTCGTTACCTTAATTGAAACTATACTAAAAATATGGAAAAGTATGCCCTTTGGGCCCGCCAACATTCTCCTTTGTTACTTCAGGTCACAACAACAAACCCCTTAGAGTCATACTATAGCGAGTTTAAGAAAACAACTTCAAAACAACATAAATTTATTAGTAAGTAGTAATATTTTGTATATATAATATAATGAAAATATGAATTATATATCTGCTTATCCGTGATGCTAATTGATCTAATATAAGATGTAGAAATATTTATATTACTAGCACTATTTCTTAATTGGTAAAGATTTGCAGGCAAATTTGGCTGCATAATTATTATAAATATATCTCTGATCTACTTTTTTAATTATTTAAAATATTTAAATAAAATTTAATATAATAATATTTGAAAAT